TGTTGTTGTTGTTGTTGCTGCTGCTGTTGCTGCTGCTGTTATTGCTACTGTTTATTAGTTTTTTTGGTACTGGTCGTGTTGTATGAAAGCGTCCAGTTGTTTTTTTCATTTTGTAAAGCATATTTTGGAAGTTCTTTGATATTCCCATAACATTTCTATTAATGAGGTTCATTTTGCTGCTTTTACTCCTCACCTCTTGCTATGCGAGTTTGAACGCTTTTGTTTGATATTTGTTAATGAGTGCTGGAAATGTCTTTATTGATTTGCTTTTGAATGAACTGCTTAGGCGTCGGTATGTCGGAGATTTCAAAACGTGACCTGCACCAGATTATGATTTATGAGTTCAAACTTGGACACACTGTTGCGGTAGCCCACTCAAACATTACAAAAATATATGGGTCAGATTCAGTTTCAAAGAACTCTTTGGCATGTAGTTTTCAACGTTTTCGACAGGGCGATTTTGACGATGAGAGGGTGTCCACTCGGCATCGGAAACAAATACTTACTAATGACAAGGGAACAAAAAATGCTGCGAAAACTGAGCTGTCATTACCTGCGGAATCGGTCAAAAAGTCAAACCAGCAAAAGAAGAAGACGACTTCAAGGCAGTCGGGATCCAGTGGTGAGACTGAAGCGAGTAAAAAATGCAGTCCAAGAGGAGCGATGATGGTATGTTGACAAAATGAAGGTTTTTTTTTTCTTTTTTGAATATTTTAACAGTTGTCTAATGGTTTTGGGATATAATGGTGATGGAAAAAAATTTGCGTTTTATGGCTGGATAAAGTCCAATCTGTGAGAGGTTTCAATATTTTTGGCTAGCGTATTCAATCATGTAGGTGCAACCTATTGTATAAGTGGGGTATGGGTAGTCTGGTCACGGTTTCGCGTGAAGCAAGCAGATACTGTAAAAAACTGTTAATTTGCGGGGCGTATTGGCATGCTGTGTTTGAAAAGTGGTCGTGGGTACTGGCCGAGTGCGTTCTGCATTATAGCATTACTGAAGTACTGGAGGATCATAAATTCTAGGAAGTCTTCAGCAGTATGTGCCGATTAGATTTGATTGAAATGGTGAAGTATTAAGCTAAAGTCAGTATAATGAGCAATAAGCAATGAAAGTTGTTGATAGGAGTACATCATCTGTTTTGCTAACACGCATCACTATTATCGGTGGAGATTTTTGTATAAGAAACGGCATTTGTCGAATTCGTTTCACTTCAACGAGGCGGTAAAACTGAATGGAAAGCCGTCTCAGCAAACAGAATAGTTACCTATTCCAGTACTTCAACTAAACACTGCCTATATAGGGGTTGTATTGAAGCAAAGACTGTATGAAAAATGAAATGGACTTGTTCGAACGCAGTAAACGGGTACTTTTGCTATCTGTGTTGAAAAAAGATTTTTTTCATCTTTGTAATTTTCAGTGAGTGCACTACACTTCAGTGATCTGATGGGGATTTTTTTTCGTTGGCAATTTTCCACTGTGCTAAGGATTTATCATGAATTGCCTGCCTTCGGGGAGGTTTAGCTTCCCGTATTAGAGCATTTCTGCTTTGTTTAACACTGGTGCTGTTTGTTTCAACTGGTCTTCCGCGTCCTGGTAGTGGAGGTTTCGCAGGAAAGCTCTTCGATGTTAGATGACTTGTGATGCGGTAGATAAATGTGATACGAATTCTGATGCTTTCTATGTTCTTTCGGTTGCCTCTTCCATTTTTCTTCTGGAATTTTCAGGTTGGGAGTGCATGGGCCTGAGTAGTTCAAGAAGTATTGCAGGATTTGTAGAGGCGAAGGTAGAACAGAACAAATCTTTTGTTTATTGTCTTCGTCTTGCCTATTTCAACACACGTTGACATCATTGGAGACTGGTTCTTTTGATCCTTGTGTCCGGTAGAAATTACCTAGCAATTCGTGTGGTATTCTTTAGTGCTTTCCTTCCAAACGTGGAAGAGAGGATGGATTTCATATATTGTGCATAATGTTTCAGCATGTGTCAAATAGTTTTTGTTTGAAAGTCATTTTTTGTTGCTGTGTTTTGGCCAAAGCTTTTACCTGTAAAACGAATCAAACACAGCTACTTTTTTGTGGGCAGTATCCAGGGATCTGTATTAAACTAGTTTTGGAATAAATGAACTCGAAGAAAAGGTGGCCAAATTTATACCAGATTATTTAATAGGCCTAGTGGGTTTTTTTTGCATTGTAAAAAAAAAAAATGCGCTGTTGAGTTTCAAAACCTTTTTTTTGATGCTGGAAGTCTCCAAGGCTAGTTTTATAAGTATCTCGAATTTGACGGGATTTGGGATGTGTAGACGGAATCGTAACGTTCTGTGTGTTATTTTCAGTATCATTAGTATTTGTGATTTAAATTCATTTCTGTTAAAGTTCAAACAGATGGATACTGTTAATTTCGAAGAGCTAAGGAAGATTGGGAATTTGGAAGCCATGAGCTATCGTGTCATTATTTAAGGGCTCATATTTATGTCGCTAAAAGTATAAATTTGTTTCAATAAATAGTATCATGGTAGTAATTCAGTGTGGCAAGTGTTGTTTTAAATGCAGAGAAGTGCCAGTTTTAGAGAGCAAAGTAGCTTGAGTTTGTTCGTTTATTACGGTGGATTATCATCAGACATTTCTGCTGCTGTTTAGATTAAAGGAACTAAGTTATGGGTAGGGAAGAAGTTATATATGTAAGGCCTTACTTATATTACAGCTATTTCTTCCTAATTAGGCAAGATTTGTGGCGCAGCTTCTTTGGCTGTTTTCGTAACAAATGTTGTTGTTTTTTCTTTAGACGTCTTTTACAATCTAATGTTTCTGAGTGGAGTTCAACTTGACATTGTGAAGGTCCTCTAACCTTTTCGTTGTAAGTCAGTTAAGTTGTCGCTAAACTAAGTCAGTGACTGCTTTATTTTTGAATTTGCGTTTGTCGAGTTCACGGTTTTTATCTAGTCATAGCACACGTATTTGTTCGTGGTATCCGATGTGAAGTCCTTAGGTGCACTCTACTGCAAAGGCTCTTGGCAAGTTATCCTTTACTGTTATCGCCCTTATTGTACTTTGTTGCTGCTCTCAAACTTGTTGTCAGTTGTCTGTCTACCTTAGCCGTGTGTCGTGTGGTGGTGATGTAGTTCAAGCTACAGAAATCTTGTACCTTTAGTTCTTAGATGCGCGGAAAAAAGACTGCCCGTTGTGGGAAGAAGAGAAAAGTCGAGAATCCGACTGAGGAGGAGACAGTAAACGAAAAAAAGGAAAAAACGAAAATGAAGAGTGATGAAGTTTCTGAAGCTGAAAAGAACGAAGCTCCTAATTCGTCCGATCCAAAACCAGAAAAGCTGGAAGATTCGACTGCTCAGTTAGCTGATGTAGGTTATCATTTGCCTAATGTATTCGTGTGCACGAGTTTCATATGCTACCCCTTTCATATCTTTAGCGGAACGACTGAGTTTTAGTTCTGTATATCCATTCCAAAAATTAATTATTTGTGTTATAAAGGGATCGAGCACATCAGCATCAGAATCTCAAAAAATTCGTGGAACGAAGCGAAAGATCACAGCAGATGATAACGAGGAGGGAACTAAACGAGGTATTAAGTTCAGTTTGCACCTTTATTGTAGGTGGATTTGTCGTTTTAATTCGGAGGTATTAGTCAGCAAATTTGAAGTTGTTTTTATAGTAGAGATTTATTACTACAGTACAAACTTAACTTTGTGATACGGTTCATGCAAAAATCCTGCGAAGTTAAATTTCTTTGTTCTGCTGCAAACACGTTTTAGAAAGACAAAGACAAACGAAGCGAAGGAACAGTACGAAAATACAGCGAAAATTATAGCAGCTTTTGTTCTTGTTAGGCAAAACTGATAACAGTGAGTAGTGCAAACTACAGCGCTTCATAATTTTGTTGGAAAATCTAGTGCATTCAAGCAGAAGCATTATTAGGGGGCTGTTTAATTAGCATGTCTTTCGATATAAGGTTAGAGTCAGATAGGCTTTCCGACGATCGAGGAAGTCGCATGGTCGTGAGCCATCGACACACCTATTCGACACTTTTTATATTGTGATAAGTGCTCTTTCATGGCCCGGTAAGGTTGTTATTGTCACTCTCTGATTCCAGCGGAGTTAGTTTAATGCTCATGTCTTGTGCAGCACTTCATGATTACCACAACCAGTATGGACCTGACGCCACTGTTGCATAATTTTGCTGTATTTTCGGCGTTTCTCATCTTTACAAAATTGATTGTGAAATCTGTGTTTCATAAACCCCCGCTTTTATGTTATATAAGGAGCGTATTTTTTTAGCAGTTTCTCACGCAAAAAAGTTGAAACTCAGTTTGCCGTTAGACCGCTTCTTGCCCACAGAATTAGGGGATCGAGTCCTTAGTTGTGGTGAAGGCGAACAGCTTGGCCACCCAGGAAGAACAACTACTAAGAAACCGCGAGCGGTTGGTACACTACCTGAAGGCAAAAAAATAATGCAAGTTGGTTCTCCCACCATTTTTGTGCTCTCTCATGTCTTTTTCTCCACGTATTTCTTTAACTGGTTACCTTTTAGGTTGTTGCTGGAGGAGTTCACTCACTTATTCTGTTTGAAGATGGATCTGTATATTCATGTGGTATTAACGAGAAGGGAACGGTTCCAGCGGAAGGTGTCGAACCTGAAGACTCTACAGACAAATTTGCTCAGATTATGTTTAAAGAATCCGTGGAGAAGGAAGGGAAGGTAGTACTCGCAAGGACTTTTGTCATTTGTTCTCATGGAACGGATATAGAGGCCAAAAATGATTCACAAAATTTCTGCCGTTTGGGCATTTGAAGGATTTCCAGGG